CCCCAAAACCCCAAAACCCCAAAACCCCAAAACCCCAGGGGGAAGAAAAGTTATTGAATTTTTTATAATAATAAAATGGATACGAAAGAGGAGCTGAGTGGGAGTTTGAAGGGAGAGAGTGAAGGAGAGGAATGTGAAGAGCAGGAAGTTTTGGATATTAAAAATAGCAAAATAAAGCAGGAGGACGAGTATTTGAACTCAAGATGGTTTAGAAAATCGCTTGAAGCTCGTCTTGAGGTAATAGTGAAATGTAGAAAAAGCATATTAGAGCATCAAAGAAATAATAAAGACTTTTACCAAATTGAAGAATATAAATGGCTAGATTTTACTATGAAAAACATGACAAACCTAATAATAGAGAAATTCAATTTCGCTTATAAGAAAAAGATGTTTGAAAATTTTAGATATTTACTTTCTGAAATTGAGTTCATTGAGGATACTTTAATGAAAAACAAACTCTTTTGCAAGATTGCAGAGTGAAAATAATTGGGAAGGAATGTTTAAAAAACTTAAATGAAATGCTGAAAACAATCGCCTAGCTATTTTAAAGCCATCTCATTATAAGAAGAATAGACAAGACCATCTAAAAGAAAGCAAAAAACATAAAATTGAGGAGCCGCAAGATTTGCAACAGAGTGTTATTGCTTTCTCGCAAGAAGAGGAAAGCTCAAAGAAAGGTAATATTGTTCAAGTACCATTTAGAATTTAGAAGCACAAAATTTTGAAGGTATAAAAGCTCTCTTAATTTGTCTGACAAATTTAGGCTAATGACATGGAAATGCGCCATATTCTACAGTTTTTTTCTAATATTAGTCCTTGCATACAAATATCTCGATGGCTACCAGGTTTATTATGGCAGAAAATTAATTATATCAAGTAAGGTTATAAGCTGAAATTTTAGTATTTTTAAGAATTTGCATTTTAATGTTCTCTTATGGAAATTTTATGCCAACCCTAAAAATATTTATAACTTAGAAATAAGTAAGAAAATCTAAGAGAGGGATTTTTATAAGAATCCCATTTTCTGTTGTTGATGTGCTTTCTTGTAAATTTTCTCAATTTCGATATTAGATCATTTTCAATAACTTATGAAACTTATAGGTAATCCAATTGATTTTGTCGAGGAAATAGATGACTTAAGATCCAAGCTTAGCAATTGAGAGGTTCAAAATTCTCAATATGAATACAAATTCATTATTCTGGAGGGCATTTTTGAAACTCATGACAGCAAGCTCAAAATTGCTTATGAATCAAAATGCGATCAATCGAAGCAGCTTGAAATCACGAAGACCATCGAACTTAGCGAATTTTGCCAAAGAATAATCAGTATCACCACTGAAGCTAATGCGGATAAAAGAAAAGCTCTTCGAAAAGTAAATAGTAATCTTATGAAAGAAATCAATTACAAAGACTATTGGATAGAATCCCTCCTCAAAGATAAAAACAAGGCTTACTCAATAGCTGCTTTGACAAAGATATTCACAATGAGTTTGATACTCCTAATACTTTTTGACTAATCAACATACAATATTTGGTTGTTCTTCGAGCTGTATACATGAAATTTACCTGATAGAGTCTCAATGCTTCATAGGAAGGGTTTGAAGAGCTTGGCTGTAATATTTATAACGAAGTTTAGACCAGTGAGTTAGACTAAACTCACTGCATCTTGTATTATAAATCTAGTATAGAGTTGGCTTTAACATATTTTAAACTTTACTATTTTCAGCATCTTAATCTTGGAGTGGGGTTTTGGGGTTTTGGGGTTTTGGGGTTTTGGGGTTTTGGGG